AATTTTCAGGTTTCCTTTTACCTGTTATGTACTGTGGCCCCTTCAGTAATAAACAACAAGCCCACCAAGTTTTGTCTCCCCCCCCCCCCCTTCCCCAAAAACAACCTGAAATGACGTCCCTGAGGGAGAACGCAGTCAACCTCTTCTCATTTATTGCACGGTGACTGCAGTGTGAAGAATCACTGCCGAAAGTTAGAGCTGCCTTGTTGTATTTTAAGATCCACTGGGCTGCAAAAGCTTGTAAAATACTGAATTATCTCATCAGAATTTCTTATTTAAATGACACAAGATATAACGCATTTCCTGTTTTTAGGATAATAACCATTTAATTTTTTATGCGCAGCGCTACAATTTTGTTCAGCTTCCATGCAATTACTGTCTAACTTTTTAGGCAGCTTTCTGCTGTTTGTGTATTGGTCTGACACACTGGTACCAGGATGCCCGCATAAGATCAACATAACGGCGAAAGGGGACATCAAGAGAGTGAACGTCTACGGCGAGGGGCTCAACGGTGGCATCTCAGGGAGTGAGCTGAAGGTGTTCGTGGACACAACAGAGGCAGGACCTGGTAAATGTGGTGGAAACCATTTATTTGTTCCCTTTCCGAACTTGTAAAGACAAGAAATGGCAGAATCATGCATGTGGAATATAATATTATAATTATAATATAATAATATAAAGAAAGGACGATGCAACTTTTAATAAAAGAGGAACGTTTCGTCCCAAGATCCTTCCTCGGCAGACAGGACAAAGGAAGAAATAATACGAACTATTTTTCGTTGCTTACTCATTTGTCCTTTCTTCCGAGGAAGGCTCGCAGCCGAAGCGTATTTCTTTTATTGTCTAGTCTTTCTATTTCAAACTTCCACATAACTTCTTCCATTATTTCCTTCACACAGCTTGAACGCCGTCCTTCATAATTTATTATCTTGTATAAATAGCATGGACAAAGACAGAGTCAGGAGTCTTATCTTTTGGGTTCAAGTTGGTAGTTAAAACATATTTTCAATCAAGATTTAGCCACACATTAAGAAAATAGAACCAAAAAAAAAAAAAACCACAAAAACACAAAACAACTGAGTCTTGGTTTACCATTTTGAAAAAAACGTTTTTTTTTTTTTTTTTTTT